AGCTGGGTTTTCCTTGTTGCAATTTTAGAAGGTGATTCATGGAAAACCAGAGAATGAGTGTGTGTGGACATGAGTGAGGGGAACAGTGGCTATGTGTGGCAGTTTCTGACCAGGGTGTCTCTGTGTTTGCAGGTGTCCAGTGTGAGGTGCAACTGGTGGAGTCTGGGGGTGGCTTGGTCCAGCCTGGGGGGTCCCTGAGACTCTCCTGTGCGGCCTCTGGATTCACCTTCAGCAGCTATGGCATGGATTGGGTCCGCCAGGCTCCAGGGAAGGGGCTGGAGTGGGTCGCATACATTAGTTATAATGGGGGTAGCACATACTACGCAGACTCCGTGAAGGGCCGATTCACCATCTCCAGAGACAACGCCAAGAACTCGCTGTATGTGCAGATGAGCAGCCTGAGAGCCGAGGACACGGCCGTGTATTACTGTGCGAGAGACACAGTGAGGGGAGGCCCCTGTGAGCCCGGACACAAACCTCCTGCGGGGGCCCCGAGACCGCCAGGGGGCGCCCGGACGCTGTGCACGGGGCTGTCTCGGGGCAGGTGCAGGTGCTGCTAAGGGCTGGCTTCCTGCCATGGCCTGGGGCTGCCTCCTTGTCACATTTCCCCAGGGAACCTCCCAGATTTACAATTCTGTACTAACATCTGATGTCTCTAAAGGCAACACTTCTTTTCCTTTCTCTTTCTTTGTTTTTGTAGCAGGAGGACACATTCTCACCTCTCCAGAAGACACAGTGTCACCTTGGGGGCAGAAATAATCCTTTCCTGGTCAACAGGATGAGAGCCCCGAGGAATCACATGGAAACATGGGGAGTGTTTTCCAATTAGGCTCAGGACAGAGACCTCCATGGGAATCTCTGATTAGAACAGGCTTTGAGTTCTGACAGGAGCCAAGCGAGAGGCTCACCCAGGGTCAGGACTTAAAAACTAACGTTTTTCACAGCTATCCCCTCTCATCTTGTAAAACTGTGACCATCTCACTCAGACCGATTCAGCTGTCCCTCTTTCTGCTAATCCATTTTCCTTCTCTGTAGACTTGATTCTCATGGTTCCCTTTCTTTCTTCTCTTCCCTGAAAATAGAGGATGTGTTTTCTGTAGTCAAAAT